TAATAAAAAAATTTAATTATTTATTGGTCGATTTTTGATTAAAAAGTTGCATAATTTATCGAAGTATTGATTTTATAATAAAAAGCGATGTTTTATTAAAAATGTTCATTATTCATCGAAGTATCGATTTTTAGAATATAATGCGCCGCAGGCGAAAATTTTTAATAAAAAATCGCGCGATTTTTAATTAAAAATTTTCATTATTTATGGAAGTATCGATTTTTAGAATATAAAGCGCCGCAGCCGAAAAATTTTCGAATATATGGACCTATATTAATATATGGTTACTGGGTGTTACTGGGTGGCGTATTTACTTTTAAAACGTATGGCAGCACATATTTGCTCTTACTGTCGGCCATTGTTATTTCTGTTTGTTTGTGAAAAGTGGTAAAACGTGAACACAAATTTATAAACGCGTTTTACTTAATTAATTGGTGAATTATATATAATAAAAGCATAAAATACGCATGTGAGCATTGAAAGTATAATATGTAACACAAAATATAAGTGATAAGTGGCATATTTTAAAAAAATTAGGGGGTGATAGTGGACATTATTTAACAACAAATTGCTAAAATACTATTAGCAATTATATTGTGAGAGTGAACAATTCATGTTGAGGAGGCCTCCCCCAACATCCTCACCAAGTTTCATGACGAAATTCCTTATACTTTCGCTGAAATTTCGATTGGTTCCGTTTTGGAAAGCCCACCCAAATAAGTTACTAGGTTTACGTGAATATAAGGCATTTACAAGTAAAGATATTATGAAAATAAATGCATATACATAGCTGTTTCCTTCTAACTTAATGATAACATTCCACACGTTTCGCACCCAGCCATACATTCGCGCAAATTAATAAAAATTATATTTTTAAGGCCTTTTCTATTTAATCCTGCATCTACATACTATAATAAGTATCAGCAGTGCTCAGAACAGCTTCTCGTAACTTTTCACTTTTGCCTTAAAGATGAGAACGGTGCGAAAGATGGTGTCCAAAGTTCTTCTAAAACTACATACATACATATGTATGTATCAGGATGTTGCGAATATTCGCATTCGCATTCGTTATGCGAATGTTTGGCATCACTTTACACATTCGCATCAAAAGATGCGAATGTTTTGCGAATGCAAATGTGTACATGGGCAGAGAGTCCACTCTAAATATTGTTGAAGTGGTCTGTCTAACCATGGTGCGGACAATAACCGGCTTCTTAGCTTCAGGTTAAGGTTAAGAAGTATACCAAGCAATATTGATGGGCCTTCAACAAGTACTGATAAAAGTCGTATAAGCAACCTAGAAATAATTTTAGATTCCTCCAGCGAAAGCGAAGGCTCGGATGTAGAATCTGGATACATTAAAAAATGTGAATTTAAAGCTCAATTGAAGGCCTATCTTAAAGAAAAATGAGCTCATCTCGGTGAAAATAATCGTAGAAAATAATGGTAGAAAACTAAACTAAAATACGAAAAATTTGGCACGCAAATATTTGAGCGCTCCACACGCAAGCGTTCCAAGTGAGCAATTGCTCAGTGCAGCCGGCCTTATATACGAGCCTCTTAGAAATAGTCTCATGGGAGAAAAGGCAGGAAAATTACTTTTTTTTTTTGACATAATATGCCTCTTTTGAACTTTGAGTACTAGATTAAAACACTGTATACACTCTAAAAAGTGCAGGTAAAACTACTACTAAAAAGTGTTTATTTTTCACCCAGAACCTGAGTAAATATACGCACAAAATAATCATGATTTGATTTTGAACACGAAATGTTTAAAAAATTATAAAATTGTAAAACATTTCAAAGTAAAGATATATTTTTTACTAATAATAAATATTAAGTGCTCATTTTTACTAAATTTTAAACGCTTTGTGTGTAATTTTTCTCTACGATACAAATTTTATATGTAAAAGTAAACAGACAGTGTTTAGTTTTTATGTGTAAATTGTGAACAATAAATGTTTAGAACTCAACAAACAAATTTGAAATTTGTTTACGCCACACATATGATAAGTAAAAGTAAAAGCTCAGTTAGTCTAGACTTAATTTCAGTAACTTAACTTAACTTAATGTTTTAGCCGAGCTGTTATATAAGAAACTGTGTTGGCGGTTAGTTAAAACTTAACTTACCGTAAAAAACTTAAGAACCTGTAGGATTTAGGTTCTTAAGTTACGGCCTTACGAAAATTGAGAGCGGTGAGAGAATCAGGCTTGCCAGACTCTCGGTTTTGTATTTCTTAAAAAAAAATTAAAGCAAACATTTTTGTTTGCATGAATTTTTTTGATGTGGCATTGTAGGCGGCGAACTGTTAAACAGCTGAAAAAGAAAATACTAAAACAAAATATTTCCGCTCATGACTTAAATTGACGTGTTGAGTAATCATTAATGATTTCTTACGGTTAAGTCTAGACTAACTGAGCTTTAAGCAAGTAGTGTTTAATTTAATGAACACGGTGTGTAAATTTGCATTCACTAAGAGAGGAAACCTACCTATCTTAATATGCGCAAATTTAAACAAAAATTTTTAGACTGTAGGTGTAGTTTTTTCAAACCAGTAAATAACATGCACAGTATAATAATTTTTAATATTTAAATACCTGGGATTTTAATTACTATTTATATATGTACATATTTCTTGTTGTGAGATTTATCGAAAAAAATACTTAAGAAGCAATGAATATACTAATCGTGTTTAACATTTTTTTCAGCTTATTGTGCGCTCAAATGCATTCAGAAATAGTGCAGAGACAAAGAAATAACGCAATAGAGTCCAACAGAGGAAAAGATACACAAATGCCTTTTTAGTATTTTCCAATTAAAAAAAAACTTCGATAAAAACATAAATGTTGATGATTTTCGCTTAATTTTTTCGTTTTATTTCTAATGAGCACATTTTACATAGAAAATACTTAAAAATTTACGTAAAAATACATATAATTATATCTCTAGTTGAAGTTTTCGAAAGTCAACTAACAATTTGATTTATTTTAATCTTATATGAGTGTTTTGTTATTTTAACTCTTACAAATGTCTGCAAGTTTTACAATATCACTTAATCTACATACATATAGGCATAAGATCGTATTAAAACAAAAAAGATAAACTAAAGCAGTAAAGGAAATGACATTTTATGACTTTATGTGCTTTTAAAAATACATATGTATCTATTTTATTTATCTTTTGCTTTCATTAAACTCTATGTAATTCTAAGCTTAAATAATGATTAAAATAATGAGGCATTTATGAAGCAAATTTGAACAAAATATGTATGTTTTTTGTATTCGTATCTTAGCAATTTAGGTTAACATCAGGCGTTTGTTTTATTTTTATTTTTGCTGCACATCCAAACCAGCAATGCAAACGGTCCTATTTGACAAATTTGAAAATTCGCAGGAAAAGCAAGCAACTTCTAAAATTTTCACACGAAATACGGCTCTTTAAAATATGCAAAAAATCTTTAATAGCAAAAAAATTAAAAAAAAAAATTTCGAATCGTAGATATATTTAGCATCGATGATGACATTACGTACATATGTATGTATAGTAATCACCAGAGGAAGCGTCGCACCAAAAGAAGTCAAGGTGGTGTGGTTGAAGCGAAGTTTATTGCTCAAAAAATTCTAAAAATATAAATTCTTATTAACTGAATATAACATATTTTATGTTGATCTTCGAAATTCTATATTATTTTCCGAATATTCATCCAGTATATGTATGAATGTATTAATGTATGTACATATCGTTAGCTTAGAGTGAAAAGTTGCTAAGTCCACTTTATATGAAAACTCATATTTTGATACAGGAGGCTAGAGAAATTTAAAATGTATTGTTTGGAAAAGGATCAAGTCACTTATTTTATTTATCCAAAAGAAGCACCGAAAATCCTTACCACCTCACCAAAAAAAAAAGGTATATTTTTGTTTGTTAAATAAAGTAAACCAAAGACTTCTAAAAAATTCAAAATACGTTTGATTAACAATGGCATAAAATGCTCACGATTCATATACAGCGTAATTTCGATAACCTGCAACCTCGCAATCTCTCAAATCGATTTAGCCTTATTTTTGGTTTTGCAAAACTGTCCTATTCTTTAACTCGTTATGAATGAAATAAAAATAAAAAGCACAATTGACTTTTTCGACCTATTCGGAGTTCAAGTGCTTTTTTTTTTATCCCAAATTGAGTGTAAAATTTTTAAACGCAGTTACAAAACTGCGAATAAAAATAAAATGCGAAATTATAAAAACAAAATGATGAAAAAATAAAAAGTTACTATAAAATATATATTTGCTGTCTATAACACGTAATTTCGCTAACTCAAAAATCGCAATAACTCGTAATATTTTGGTGGAAACTTGGATTACGAGCTATCGTGATCCCACTGCAGACATAGTTTCATGATTTCGTTTTTTTTTTTTTAATTGAGGGATATAGTACTGGCTTCTTACATTTACAGACCTATTCTGCGATGGTAACAAAAACGTTTTTAACAATTTTTTTTTCTTTTTATGATTTTAAATGCTCTAAAAATAGAAATTTGTTTCAAAATTGTCCCTATATAAAGCTTTACAAATTAATTTTATTTTTATGAATAAGGGAGTGTTGAGAATGCCAGCTTGGAACTGAGTGGTTTCTTGAAATGTTCTCCTGTCTATAATATCAGCTAGAAATGAAGTTTCGCGTTCTTAATGTTATAAATAAAACCTGACGCCTGACTAGCTAAAAAGTAAAAGCCGCTTTTTAAGTGCGCAAAAATAAATATGTATTTTTAGACATAAAAATAAAAAAAGATAAAATGCGTGCATAAAATTGAGGCATTAATGTAAAAATACATACTTTAAAAAAATTTGTTCGCTTCCTTCCACAAATTGAACACCTTGAACATTTCTTTGCAAACAGCTTCCTTTTCATAAAATTAGTAAATGTAAAATAATTTTTATTGCAGGTCCAAGATTTTCTTTAATTTCATTCTCATGCAAAAAATATTATTAAATGTAGCGTACATATGCAATACATATATTTAATGTTTTATCATCTTTTATTTTATACTCTTTTTGTAAATTTTAAATACTAAATCTGTTTGCGACTTTCGCTCAATCAATTATACTTGTTTTTCATTTCACTGTATATTCTGTTAGTTTACGCCCATTTAGTACTAACGCTTTCTCTGTATGCATAACTAACTTATGAATTATGAATTTAGGTGTAATTATGTAATTTATTTTCTACAATTTATATCCATATTTTTATTTATAGTCGTTTTGACGTGTTTGCGTTATATTTTGTTTTAGTTTAACACTTACATTGCTTACTTTCGCTTTCTATGTATTATTTTTAACATTTCCTTTTTTAGTTCTCTGCACAAAATATTCGGATGATTATACATATTTTAAATTTTTGTCTTCACTTTCAATTCTATTAACTAAATACATATTTCAGTATTTATTACGTCTGTTTTGTATTCGCCGCAATTTACCCGAACCAAATTCACATTTTTTACCTACGCTTCTAACCTTTTTCACTATTTAATTTAGGTTATGTTCACTTTGATTACTGTTATGCTTATTTTTGTGTGTATTTTGTATATCAATTTAATTTAAAAAATATATTTATTTATTTATTTTTGTATGGTTTTTCTTTGTTTGCTTATTTTGTTTGTTTCGTTTAACATTTGTTAGTTTTGCTTATTTTTTTAGTTTTAAACAATAATAATTAGCGTAAAAAGGACATTTACATTTAATTTGAGTTCATTTGATTTTTGTGTTGTTGTTGCTTCTGTGGTTTTTGTTGCTGTTGATTTTAGCTGCTTCTTGAGCGTTTGCGGAGCCAACTTTTGACGCTGAGATTGCTGTTGCTGCTGTCAAACTTTGCTGTTGGGTGGGCGCGTAGTCGCCTCATATGCCCCCCGTCCCAGCGCGGCATAAGCGTCTGCATATAACTCTGGATTTTGCAGCGATGGCGGTCGATTATAATTTGCTGGTTGCGGAGCGACGGCTGTTCGTTTTTTTGCATTGAGGAGAAAATTTTGAGAAAGGTAAGTAAAATAAGTTAAAAGGATCAAAAATTAAAGGAATTAAAATTAAGTTAGTAATTAATTATCGTTCATTCAACACAAATATTAATTAAATCACATTCATCCATATATAAAATCCTACATTGCAGTTAATAAAATAAATTAGTAGCTTGAAATGATGCTGCTGCTGCCTTTTCTTTTACTTGTTCTAGGTATTAGTATGTACAGCCCCAAAATGAATAGGTCGCCATTTACATATTCCGAGTACAGTGTTAAATGATTGAGACTACTCAATTAAGTTAAAACTCTAAACATTTCCTTTAACGCTAATATTTGTGGTTTTAACCACCTACATACACAACATCTTTCCTTACTATCAATGCTCTACAAACCTATGTATCCACTATATAGCGTTAAACAAAGCTCCTATAAATACTTAATTTTTTAGTCATCTCTTGCCATGTCAGGTTTGGAGATAGACCGGTTTCGGCATTATGTAACCTAAAGTGTACTTTTTTGAACGAAAACGCAAATTCGTTCCAAAATAAATAAAATATTCCCCATATCGCTAAACTTCGCATGTACGTCGACTGACGACTATAAGAAATTCAAAATGTCAGCGATGAAAAAATTTGAAAAAGTAGAGACTGATAAACAGTAGTTAAAATAAAATTGGTTCAAAAAACAAAAGCAATTGGCCTCAGCATACATATTTACAAAGGAGTTAACTTTTGTTCTAAGCTTGTCATTAAAAAGCATTGATAAAATAAATTGCCACACGTTTAAAACATCCGACCGCGCTATCAATTGGACATTTTAAGACCCTAACTAAAATCTGACCAAAATATGTGGGCGTTCTTCTTCTTATTTGGCACTATAATGGTTTGTCGGTCATGGCCGGGTATAAATCTTTGCCAACTGCAAACATTTGGCCCTTTTATTGTGTTCGGCGGCGACTTTACGTTCGTTGTCCACCCATTGGAGCCGTGTCGAAGGATTTTTTTCACCGAAACATCATCATCCATGCGTACGACTTGTTCAAGCCAGCGCAATTGTTGGTCTCTTATACGCTTAACTATGTATTAACGAAATTAAATGTTCCAAAAAAGAAAAAAAATATCCCTAGAACTACCTAAGTTTGGACCGAATCGAATTAAAAAAAAAAACTGTCTCGAAATACAAAAGTCTTTCGTAAGGCAATTGTCAATTCTGGCAACTTTTTACTGTCTTTCGAAAGTGTAATTGAAAGATCTGCTAGCGAAGAGGCCTTAGCGTTATGCTTATCGCTTTTTTTATTTTTATTAACATTAAATCAAAAATATATTTTTGCTTTTTAAAATAATAAAAATTAATAAATAAAATAAAATTGAATATAAAAGAATAAAATGAAATGAAAATAAAGGAAAAATAAATAAAAATACTTTCTAAAATTAAAAGGGGAATTGAATTAGAAAAAGAAAAAAATTTAGGTACATATTTACAAATTAAATGAAATTAAAAAAGTGTATTTCTTATTTAGCAAAATCTAAACATTAAAAGACAAAAAATAAAATAAGATCCCAAAAATTTTATGAAATAAAAGAATTATATTTTCTTTTTAAAACAATAAAATATAAAAATTAAAAGAAAATGAAATTGACAAAAGAAAAACAAATTAAATTAGAAAACTAAAAAATAAATAGAAGAAATTTCTAAATATTACATGAAATTAAAAAAAATCCTTTTTTAAACATTAAAATCTAAAGTGAAAAGAAAACTAAACTAAAACAAGTAAGAAAGTCTAAGTTCGGGAGGAGCCGAACATTAAATACCCGGCGCAATATAAATATATGTTTTTTTCTCCTTTCCGAAAACTACCGCTACGGGGTAAGCGGGTTGGTTTTACCCCTATTTTAAACATCTTCGACAGAACGTTCAGTTAGACATAATGAGATAAACTTATATAGTCATATGGGGGCGGTATCACACTTATTTCCCAAAATTCCAAATTTTCAAGGGCATGTTGTTAGTATCAATTTTGAGTAAATAAGCGTTCTTAAATTTCGAAATATCGAAGTTTCAAGCATTTCTGAAATTTACCGTTACATGAAAAGTGGCCGTAATATTAGTCCGATTTCAATAATTTCCAACGTTTTGCTTTTACGTGTCAAGCACAATAACCACACCGAGTTTGGTACAAATTGGTAGAACGGTTATCGGGATACATATATGTGATAATAAGAGAGCGTTGCCACGTCCACCTTCCAAAATTTTATCATAAGCGTATTTCTTAGTAAAGAATAATTGCAAACATCAATTTTGAATAAAGTAGCTTTAGTATTTACTGATTTATCGAAGATTTCGTATTTCTCTAATTTACCGATATATGGGATGTGGGCATGGTTAATGTCCGATTTTAAAAAATTTTCAGCCATTTGGCACGTTAGCCAACAACTGTGCCAAGTTTGGGAGAAATTGGTTGAGCGATTACCAAGATATACAGATGTAACCATAAGTGGGTGTGGCTACGCCCGTTTTCAAAAAATTTATAATATTCTTAATTTACGTCTAAAAAGTATTGCAATTTTGAGTGAATAATCTTCAGTAGTTACTAAAATATCGCAGTTTTCGTATTTCTGAAAACTACAGTTATATGGGAGGTAGGCGTGGTTATTGTCACGTAGTACGAAGTACTCGTACCAAGTTTCGTTAAGGTATCTAAATTTTTACACGAGTTGTCGTGTGCACAGACGGACGAACGGACAGACAGTCACCGCTTAATCGATTTTTCTTTTCATTCTGATCATTTATGTATACGTTTGTCTATATCTATCTCGATTCGTTTTGGCTGTCACAAACAACCGTTATGTGAACAAAGTTATAATACCCTTATACTTATTTTATTTTGCACATTTCTTTTTTAACTAATTTTTTTATACCCGAGCGCTCTTGTATATACATATATATATATATATACATACATATATATATATATATATATATATATATATATACATATATAAATCCACTGCTCAAGGACTCGAACTCGGATCTCTCGAAATGCCTATGCCTTGCTCACTCGGCCATTGCGACTGTTGGAGCTACGCGAGCTAAATGATATACAAGTGTTTTCTCTCAATAACTTTTCACCACTAGTGGTGTATGAGAGCGTGTTTTTCTAAGACTTTTGTGCTTGAATAACAAAAGTCTATCGAACTATCTTGCCATATGTCTTTCTTTGTCTTACTAAAGACTTTTTACTATCTTGGCCAGAATTGTCCTGTTGTTAGTTCATATTCTATAACTTGCTGCACGAACTGCTACTCTACCCAATTGCAACTTAGCTTAATCCCGCTATTAGATGTTTGCAAACCCGAAAAAATTGATGTGAGGTAAAAGATTTGGGTCGAATGAAGACCTCATCACTGAAACAAATGTCTATTTGGGACCTTAGGAAATCCTATTTTTTGACTAGTAGACTAAATACATAGGAGTACCTATGTATGTACATCGTGATATATGGAGATATGCTGAGAAATCAACCAATTTTTCCAGAAAAACTTTATTTTTACTGGGTGCTTAAATTCGCTTGAACGCTAGTAAAATTTTACAACAGTGATTGCATCCAAGTAGCAGGTTTATATTTTGATTAATATAAGAGCAGCTATTGAAACCAGTTTATTTGTATGACGCGAAATTTTTCTCGAAGTAAGCTTATTTTTATACAGGAACCGACCCGGTCTGATGTGGTCTCATCCGTAATGTTGTTTCTACTACTTTTCAATTAGTTTATCTAGCATTTCATTTCAAGCACTCATCATTCTCAGTCTTTAGTATGAATATTCAAAAATTAACATTAGTATAAAAAATAAAAACTTTTTACCAAAAAAAAAAAAACAAAATGTTAGTTATTATTTGTTTAGTGCTAAATATTTGAATACTAAATAAATCATATAAATTTGTTTATTTGTTATTATCGCTTAAGTAAAACCAAACGCTGGTACATGCTGAAACAAAACAACAACATTTAAATGAAATACAACAATACAAATGACAATTATATATATATATATATATATATATATATATGTATCTTTAAACTAAAAATGTTTACTTGCTTGTGCAAAAACACCAAATGCAAACACGGCTAAAACAAAACAGTAAATTAAAAAAAATTTAAGAAATTAGTGAAAGTGACACAAATGCTAATAAAAGTGAAAGAATTTTAGTAAACGAAAATAAATCGTAAGGGATTGGAAAGCGTGTCATACCAATTTGGTGAGAATGAAAACGTGGTATATATTATTGTGTGTAGCAGTTGTTTTGGAGTGGAGATCATTAGGTACACGACTACAGGTTCAGTAAACGACCTTGCGGTGTCTTTTCGGCGCGGCCTGCTGCGCGCGCTGGGACGGCTCTTTAGAAGAGCGCCCAGCTGCTGGATTGCGGGATTTATTTCGTTTGGCGGCTGGTACTGTGTTGAATCAAATTATCGAATGGATTTTCGATAAAAGTGTTTAAGGAAAGAAATAAAATAAAATCAATTACGAGTAAATAAAAATGGAAAATAAAAATATAGGAAAATGGTACACAAGTGAGTAAAGTTTGTGTAAATTTTGAATACGCGCGTGCGTTGAAATTGTAACAAACGAAACAATAAGGAAAATGAATGAACATTTTTGTACTGAAATAAAAACTACGCGCGCCTTTTATTTGACGCTTTAGCGCGTTTTGCCTTTTGGACCGCTTGCGGTGGAAACACACCTTTCGGTGGCGCATAAAATGCCTGCGAGAGTGTTGCCTGCACTTGTTGTTGTTGCTGCTGTTGTTGTAAATGTTGCGCTTGTACCGCGCCGGTGTGCGGCAGTGGCAGCGGTATTTGCTGGCGCGCAATTACACCGCCGCTGGGCCCACCACTACTGCCGGCGCCTCCCACTACTAGCGCGCCATTTGGCACGCCATTACCACCACCACTACCAACACCAACACCAGTTGGCACACCACCAACCACAAGGCCAGGTGGTGGCGCGTCTGCATACCCGCCATGCGTTGTGCTGCGTGTACCGCTCGAAGGTCGCGTTGATGGCCGCGAGCTGCGTCCGTTGGCCGGCGTCCGCCCGCTTGCTGCAGCAGCATTGGCTGCAATTGCTGGCGCGCGTCCGCTTGCATGATGGTTATGATGTGGACCACCCGTGGGTAGCGGCACTATGGAATGTCCACCCTGATGACGATCCCAATTATGGGGATGCGTACTACGATGATGGGCGCTGGTGGCAGCGCCACGTTGTTCGTGCGCTGGCGGTGGTATGCTGCGTGGACCGGCGCCGCGGCCTTGATGATGACGTTGCTGTCGGGAACAAATTTATATTAGTGAGGGAATAGCTTAGAAAAAGTAAATCACATTTACTCACCATCCGTCTCAATGTATTCATCGGTGCGCGCAGCGTTTCGCTAATACGACGCGCTCGACGCTTCTTCGGATTTGAGCTGGGCGTGTGCACAGCGCAACACTTAATGAATATGCCCATCACAATGATAAAGCACACGCCTATTATAACTACATAGTACCAGTATTCGGTGACCCATTGCGCTACGGTGAGTAGGGTCTCGCGATTAAGCAGCAGGTTCTTCAGTCGGACCAGCGGTCCATCTGCGTCAACAGCGCGGCATTTAAGAAACACATCACAGTAGCCCTGGAAGTTATCACATGGCGAACCGGGCCTTAAGTTAATGCCGCCTTCCGGCAGACCAACCCGATGAGCAAATTCACTAGTGCTGCGACAAGTACCACTATCGTTACCATTCTGACAAGCAAGCTCGCACAGTCGACGCTTGTCGACTTGCGGCACCGCTTGTGAGGTGAGGAAACACTCAGTCATATTCCACAGCAGACAAATGCTGCCCGAGCACTCGCCGCGTATGCAGAGCGCAGTGCCATTGTTGCACTTCGTTTTGTCGTCGCGCGGCTTTGGCTCCGGGCATTCGGCAGTGGTGCCGTTGCATGTGCTCGACCAGGAACATTCCGTTTCTTCTTTGCACTTCTGATGGTAGTTGGTTGGCACGAACTGACATGAGTTCGAGAGGCAACAAGGACCTTGCGAAGGTGAACACTCCGTCTTGGCCCGCCGCGTACAACCTTTCGCCGAGCTATTCATCGAGAGGTCGTATTCGCTGATGATGCGCGGATAACAACAAATGTCCTTGCACTCGTCTTCGTTGAAACCGCAGTCACATTCCTCGCCCGATTCGACGATTTTGTTGCCGCAGAAGGCACCTTCCGATACCTTGAAGCAATCCCGTTTCGAGTTTCCGACCAACACATCCAGAACGTTGGATATGTTGCGTATGGAGCAGGGCGAGAATTTAGAATTATTCGGCCGATCGCCTGAGGTGGCGCTGGCGAACATAATGAAGTTTCCATTTAGGCCGCCTGGCCGACACTCCAATGGATAATCGTGCTGCAGAACGGAAAAGCGTTTGATTATTATTAGAATTTTTTTTTATGTCAATACATCTCAAATAAATAATTATAGCTACTTACGGGCGAACCAAAATTATGCCCAATCTCGTGCGCCAGCGTCAACTGCGACACTTTTGGCGGCACACGACTGTTATAGTTAACGAATGTAATGATGCCCGTATTTAGCGAGCGTTTTGTGCTTTGATATTGTCCACCGACTGTTTCGGTGTAAGTCTTAAATTTCTCACAAATGCCACCAGAAGCACCAGAGGCGCTGGCCACCCAAGCTAAGCCGAGCGTACCGCCGGTGAAGTCTCTGCAAAAGATTTTGATGTTGATTGGTTAATACAGGCACTTTTATGAAAAATACTCACCTATAAGTGAACACATAGGCTAAACAAAAGTCCGAATGATCCTCCAGCGAGTGTAAATTCAAAAAGTTCGACACGTCCATATGCTCATTGCAGAAGGCATTGTGTGGACCATTGTATGAATTGCGACAGGCGGAGTCGTCATCGATTTTGATGCGTTGCACCTGCAGAGTGAGAGAGAATAATTGAGGAAGTTCGTGAATTGTTGCAAATATACTGTAGAACATCATGTATGTATGTATGGAAATATTTTTAAATAAATAAAAATGTTGTAATGCAGCGAAAAATATTCTAAAATTGCCAAAAAAAAATATCGTTGTAAAATTTCTTTTTAATTTTTCAGATTAAAGCAAAATGCTACTCTAACTGTCAGCTTATTCGGTATTATAATGTGGGTGTTGAAATCCATATATGTAATACTCCTATATTGGCAGTAAGAGCTAGTACCGTCCGAAAACACTACAGTACAGATATATCAATAAACACGTACGAAAGAAAAGGAACACATACGTTTATAAATAAACATGTACACAACACATATCCAAAAACGGCACTCAAGTACACAATACATTGACAAAAACCGTACTAGACTGTCTCGCTTTGATTTCGGAATGCTTACACATTGAGAAGTTAGCTTACTGCCAATATAGAAGTATTACATATATGTTGAAATCGTTTCCATAAACATCGATGGCAAGATTGCTCAAGACGTTTTTTAAAAGGCTGAGCAAGCTTTTCATGATTTTAAATTTTTCTTTATACCGAGGTTTCACTGCGTTTGCTGGATTTATATTTTTAATTATTTTATTTTTATTTAACTCACCTCAAAACGTATATTGCGGTGCTCGCTTCGTCCATCGAATTTAGTATTGCGATAAATGTAATTTACGGCAGTTACATGATGTGCGATTAGTGAAGTGATCTCCTCACGCGTCTTTACGTCAATCTCGTATTTACGGCCACGATCGTGCTGAAAATTAAAAGGGTTGCCATTTAAAAACTCTAAACTTTGAAAAACATTGCAATGTAGATAAAGCTCTATTGTGACACTTTTATTGATTTTTCGCATTATAATATTTATGGCTCTGAAATATTTATTATTTGGAGGCAGCATAAGGCAAGTTCTATTTTGCAACACTGTCAATTTTCTTTCGGTCGGCACGGAGCAATGTGTTCAAACTCGCATAAAAATACCATTGCTATGGCCATCTTAGCATATGGCTCCTAGTTTAATATAAAGCGGGAAAGGATATTTTTTTCATGAAACACTAATTCCATATTCTCATTTCGATTACCATGCAGTGATGGACAGGGCTGCCAACTTGGCTCAAACCGTTCCATTTTTGGCCCTATTTTACTTCAAATTGCACTTAATTTTTCAATTTGGCACAAAGGGCCAAAATGGCACTTTTGAAAAATATTAATATTTCAATACATTTTTGTGAAATCCTTTGCGTGTACTGGGTTTTCTCAACTAAAATTTTCTAATTTCTATAGTGTATACAACTGGTTTATCTTAGCATTGGACTTTTGTTTTAGGAATGTGCTTCCAATTTTAATTCTAAATGGAAAGAATTAAGAATAATGGCACCTTTTTGGCACTTTTATTTTTCTATTTGGCACTTTTTTATCCTCAATATGGCACTTCATATCTAAGCATAGTTGGCAGCCCTGGTGATGGAGGCTATACATTCACAAGAATTACAGCAAACCGTTTTTATTTAAAAAAATGCTACAAGATATGACGGAAATTCATTTGAAAGTAGATCATATTCTAAATCAGGGGTCACACGATTTGTAAATTTTTTTACAGATTTGTACATTTTGAAAGTTACAGTGTGGTCTTTGTTTTTATTGAGCTGAACTCATTCTCGACAAAGGGACATACATAGACGGAAACTGCACGGTGGACGGATTTGCAAAGAGACGCGACCATGTAAATCGGACAAGACTTTGGAGATTGTAATCTCTCAGAAAGTATGATACATTCAATATCATCTTAAGTGGTTCTTAAAGTAAATTGTCTTAGAGATGAATAAGCTGACCAGCATCTTCCCGGACATGCTACAGAAGCTGCAAAAACCATTGAAAAAGGGTATTTTTCATATTCTTGGTAACTTTCCCACTCTGTATAGAAGGAAGCTGTGACACTGTGGATTGCTTTTTCTGGATGACCTTGATGTAGTGAATCTGAAATTCTTGACGAGATTTGTTAGAACAAACTGCTTCAGCAAGGGTAAATGGAATTCCAAATCTTGATATTACAAGGAGCCTAATACTGTAGTTCTAGTTATAGCACTGCTTTTTAAGTGGCCACTAGCCCAACTTACCTATATTTTGTACGAAAATCGAACCCGTTTGTGTTGCACATATCAGATCGTGAAGGCTGACGAAACCGGCTTCCTGCCGTTGACCTCAAATACCTATGTAAATTGGTACATAGATGGTTCAAACAAGGTTAAAGAACCGGCCACTAATCTTGCAGTTCTAAAAGGTAGATGGTCCATGCTGTTCCAGGCCTAAGCATTAGCAATATTAAAATACGCAAAGTTAAAACTTCAAAAAGGATTGAATGGCGTGGACAATTTTTAGATAGATATGTATCCTTTTCGTTAGGATGATCACATCCCAGATTATAAGAGACTGATTTAAGCTTTGAAGGCACGAAGGCCTGAGGGTGATAGTGCATTGCATTATGTATCATAATACCCAAGGCCATCTGCGAAGAGTTAAACGGGGGTGGGCAAATGCTATCTGGTATCATTGACTGTTTAAGCGAATTTCGCAGGCGGCAATTCAACAAACATTTAGGTTAGAAAACAATTAGACAACGCACATAGGGGTATTTGACCGATTTAGGCGGCCAAAATTATTTTCATGAAAATTTTAACTCAAAATGTTTAAAAACGACGTGTTTCAATATTTAAAACTGCAAATGTTTAAAGTCCAGTAAATAGATTAGAAGTATGTGCAAGTATTCGACCAAAACAACGAAAATAAAGTTGCTTGCAGTTTGACATCGATAGACTCCATGATATCGTGGTCCGATGGTGGAAACATTGATACCTACGTATTCATATCGCCGCGGAGAAGGTTTATATCTAGGTTAGAACATGAAAAGGGTTGCCAGCTGCTAAAAAATAAAATGCAATTAAACTAAATGAATACTACAATATGGGTATCAATCGAGAAGTTTTTTAAAAGGCTTTGTTTCTAAACAACATGTGGGAGGATTACCATCTCCTTAAAAATTAAATTCAACTTTAATTCCAGGGAATAAGGTAACTGAAATATGTATAACCATAGTGGTGTCAGACTGAAAAGTTTAATAAGGTTATAGTTTGAAACTATTTTGAACAGGGCTGCCACTTGCTTAAAAATTAAATTCAATGTATATGATAGGTTAAATTCATTTTAACAACATGGATATGGAACAAGAGATGGGTTGCCACCTGTCAAAAAATGTAATTCAATTAATTTCAATGAATTACTACGCTAAGGGTATCATCCAAAACGGCTTTGAAAGGGCCTAATTTTCAATTACATTTAGAAGGGTTGCTACCTGTTTAAAAAACCAAATTAAATCAAAATAACATATGATTAAAAAACACTATACGGAGTAACCATTATGTTGAGGTTTATTGAAATAAATTGCACCCTATCTAACACGCAGAAATTTCATACACGCATCGAACTAACTATATTATATAGTAGTTTGTTTTATTTGAAATGTCTTCTAACTTTATTTTTTAGTGAATCTTTTGTGCCTTATTAGAATTAATAATTATAAGTAATTTCGAATACGTGGCAACTTTGAACAAATATCTCCAGATACCTTTAAAATTAAAAACATTATCTGAATACAAAATTCCATCAAAATCGTTAGAGTCGTTTCCTAGAAACCTTTGGATATATATACATACATATTTACAAGAATTGATTGTTTAAAGTAATGAGATACATACATACATATATGTAGTTTGGGAAGAAATCGTACTATTTTACTACCTTAAAAACTTATTAGCAAATTTTTACTAGAACTTACCCTTAAGTAGAGCATTTTTTCTAAATATACTGACAACTATTTTCTCCCTGCAACTCTCCAAATTTTTATATTGAACCCCTCCTCCCCCACCGTCCCAGCCTCCCCTCTTAAAGTTGTCGGGCGTCTTGACTTTCCTATCACCCCCCTTTACTCATTGAACACTTCGACAGAACACCCTGTACATGTAAAGAAAACAGGTACAGTACTGCAGCAGTATTTTCGGCTTATTTTTCGGCACTAGTAAATATTTCCAATGGTCAGTGCACAGCAAACGCACCTTTTCAGCAGTTTTTTTTTTGCTTGTTTCCAAACTACGAACTGTCAAACATAACACCCAAGCAAGAATCTCAGCGCCGTTGAGTGGTGTTACATAACTTTATGACTGTAGTTCATTTCTCTAATCCACTAAAATTTGCAAATATTATTCTTCCATGTAGCTCTGCCGGTACCAGTTCAACTACCCCTCTGTGCAACGTTTAGAATTCTTATGTGTTTTTCTAAAGTAGAAGATTAGAAGACAATTGGAGATACTCACGGGAATTATAGCCTCTATTTTTAACCGACTTCCAAAAAAGGAGGAGGTTATCAGTTCGTCGGAATATTTTTTTTTTTTTTTTTTTATGTATGTTACCGCATAACTTTGCACCACGTCAACCGATTTCAATACTTCTTTATGCAACGGAAAGGCAGTGTCTCAGAGGTGGTCCCATACTAATTTAGTTTAGATCCGATCATTGGATCATAAAATATATAGATACATATATATTTTTTTTAAGTCGGTTTTTTTTTTGCTAAAAATTACTTGTTATATCGAAGATCGATTAATCGAGACATTCCGATTAGATTTTTCAGTTCCGATTCGATCCCTGAATCGTTCTAAAAATTTCGAGAATTGACAATTGATTTTTCATAAATTGAGGCATATTGAGGTACGGTTTACCCTGGAAAATCTATATAAATTGTGGATATCTAGTACTACAAAAAAACTCCAAAAATGTTCATTACAATTTTGCACTCCCTAATTACTCTTTGTAGAAAAAATTTTAGAATGCAGTTTAGCAGCCCATTCAATTTTGGTAAGTGCAAGTTTAACGAAGCTAGATCTTACCGTAGATTTTTGAAATATTTTTTTTTTTGACTGTCACGAAAATTATTTTCCATATAAAAAATCAATTTCGATCATAAGTTGCATGAAGAACGGAAATCAACAGCCCAACATCTTCAAAATTTCAAATCTTCATACTAAAATTCAATGGGCTACAAAGCTACATAGTCAAATCCGTATATTGAATGTATTTTAAAAATAATACACAATAAGTGTTTGCAATTTCAGTCTTAGTTAAATCGCTGTGTTTTGTTGTTTTACAAAAATTAAGTAAAATGCATTATTTTATAAATTATACGAATCGATCTTGGAGCTCGCGTTGATTTTTATACCCGAGCGCACTTGTGCACAAGGGTATTATAACTTTGTTCACATAACGGTTGTTTGTAACAGGCAAAACGAATCGAGATAGATATAGACAAATCTATACATAAATGATCAGAATGAAAAGAGAAATCGATTAAGCGATGACTGTCTGTCCGTCCGTCCGTCCGTCTGTGCACACGATAACTCGTAAAAATTGAGATATCTTAACGAAACTTTGTACGTGCACTTCTTTCGGGTGTAGGACGGATGGTATTGAAAATGGGTAATTAATAATTAATTTTCAGAAAAATTATTCACTCAAAATTGATATTTACAATAATAATATAAGAATATATAAATACAATAATAATATAAGAATATATAAATTTTTGGAAAATGGGCGTAGCCACGCCCACTTATGGTTACATGTGTAACCGCTGCACCAATTTCTTCCAAACTTGGCACAGTTGTTGGCCTTGGTACAGCATACCAAATGGCCGAAAATTTTTAAAATCGGGCAATAACCACGCCCTCATCCCATATAACGGTAATTTGGAGAAATACGAAATCTTCGATAAATCAGTAAATATTTATTCAAAATTGATGCTTGCAA